AGTTACTTCACAGTAGAGCTAAAGGCAAAATACACTTTGTGGCATTTATTTGCTTTGAAATATAGTTATTTGTGTTATTGCTCATAGGACAGTAGAATTTTTATAAAAACTTGTTAAGTTATATTTGTTCATTTATTTTTAAACTGTATAGACCAAGAGGCGTTCGGGAGAACTAATCTCAGTATGTGACACGCCACCTAAGTCCATCATTCAGCGACAACCATGTGATGTGCTTGCCAGAGAACCCCAGTGGCAGGAGAAGCACACAGGTGACAGACACGCACGGTGGACACCACCTACCCCTGGCAGACAGCTTCTTGGTGTTGATGATTTTGGCAGCATATTCTTGACCAGTAGGGATTTTCATACATCTTCTCACCACTGAGAAAGCCCCCCTGAAAACAAAACATTGCCAGGTCATCTCTATAATCAGCTCTGATGGTTACTTAAAAATTACAACATGTGGAGCATTTCTGTTGGATGTAGTGAACTGTCAAATATCAGTGCGCTACGCAATATCCAGAAAATGACCCACTCTTCCTGGAAGCCCGGACCAGCCTTGATGCCGAGAACAGAGTAAATCTTATTTAACTGGGAGCACACATCATTCATCAACCAAATGACAGGGACTGCCAATTCCCAGGCTCCTGTTTGCACATGAAATCGGAAAACCTTTTGCAGTTCACACTCACACCGCACCAAATGCTCCAGAAAAAAGCAAACGCTGCACAGAGCCGAGCTGAGGAAGAGCAGCAGAAATATCCTGGTAAGAAAAAATTAACGTGGCTCCAAGTGAGTAAAGATGGCGATTGTTTTCATTAGAATATAAATCTTGGGAACACTGGTGTGGTTTACCATGGTGATTTCTCTGTGCCTGTTTTGGGCTGGGGGAGGGGAGAGATTTGAATTAAGCTGCTCTTCCGACATATTCTCCATGTTTTAACAACAAACAATGCATAAACATATAAGGATAGAAAGTTCATTCCATCTAAAAGGTATTTCCATTTCCTCTAATTCAGCTGCATGAACATCATCACACACCGCACCGTCTCATCAGTAATCGTGGAAACAGGCAGAGGATCGGGTTTGGGTCAGATGCTGCATAAACCATCAATCAGCATCCGGGTCGCCCCTGGGTCCCTGTGCACAACCCGACCCTCAGCAAATCCGTGCCTCCTGCACACCTCCAGCCCCTGGGTCCCCGCGCTCGGGCCTCGGGGAGTCCCCTTGGCCTCCCTGCACACCTCCAGCCCCTGGATCCCCGCGCTCGGGCCTGGGCAGGTCCCTGCTCTCTCCCTGCACGCCTCCAGCGGCCCCGCAGGTCCACGCACCGCTAGGCCACCTGGGGACACCACGGCGCCCAAAGGGCTCTCGGGCCGCGTGTAAGTCCTCCGAGGAAGCAGGGATGCGCGCGAGCCCTGGGAGGGAACGGCGGGGGAGTCACCCGGGACCAGGGGTGACCG